GTCTTTCCTGCTCCTTTGTTTCTTTTATGATAAAGCAGCAGTATGCTTCACTCAGAAGCTTTTTTTGCAAATTTACCAAAGAATAGCCTTTAAATCTGCAGGAGTCATAGCTGGCTGCCTGTATTTGGGGGTAATCAAAGCTGAACCAGATGAACTGAGCAGGCTGTTCAAACAGATTGAGCTCGCAATAGCCCTTCTCTGCTGATTACTCTGTCCCTGGCTTGCAGAGCAAGTTTTCGGCTTGTAAGCCCACTATGCCTGCAAATAAGATTTGGCATTCCTGTGCTGGCAAAATATTTTTAAGACATTGTTGAGATCAAATGATCCATTTCTTCATGCAATGTGCATAACTTGGGCTCTAAATCATCTACCTTGCCAAAATCAACTGGACAGTAAAGGAGAGGGAGTTGTGTAGATTCCCAATGAGATATGTAAGGGGAGCAATTCATGCTAACAAATCTACAAGACTTCATAAACACTTCACCTTATATCAAGGGCTCATCCTTAATGAGGTCTTTTGTATTCCGATAGCCAGGGGCATAATGGCATTCAAAATACTACTGAAATAGTTAATATTCTCTGTAGACACCTGTCTCTATGTACATATTCTGTACTGAGCTCTCAAAGTTTGATGTATTCACAGGCAAATGCTACAAAAGTAAGTGGTGAATGGGATGAGGTGTTTTTTTCAGCATTGTGTTGAAGTTGGATTGACTAAATAGATTATTTACTTCTAAGCAATAGACGTAGGAACCCGGGTTTATTTGCTCCTTGTTACCTATGTATGGTTTCACATATCACTCTCTGCTTTCAGTGGGGCAGATAAGATATCAACACAATTAAAAGTGAAAAATAATCTGTCTGCTCTGCCACTGGTGGATGCTCAGAGAACACACGCTGATACAATAGATTTCTGAATAATTTATACTCAGCATTTTTTCCTTGCACTCGGTAAATGAGGATGCCTAATGTGGCATGGTCAGAGTGATACTCTATCTGTCATCCATTAAGATAACAAGATTGGTGAGCCTGGGAGGAGCATGGCGTGGTACACAGAAAAGATGAGATTACAAATTGAAATATTTGTCCAAAATGTTCTATGGAAAGGATACTGATAAAAGCAGCTGAGAAAAACAGAATTAATTCAAAAGTGTGATTTCCACAAAGCTTTGTCTTTGCTAAAATAAAAACACAAGATCCATGTTCCTTTCGAAAGATGTGGATAAAAGGAATATCGGAGCAAATCACTGTTCCCAATAGGCCTTCAATAGCTTCCTCTACTCTAAATTCAAGTACTTTGTAGGTACTATCAAAAACAATTATGTATGACAGTATATATGTATGACAGTAATGCTTTATGTCTCACTGAACGGGATTTTTTTTTTTAATATATTCATAGGGCATTTTAAATTACAAAGAAAGCATCATTTGTGATTGTTTTTGGCAGAGGAGTGTCTCATCTCCCATCACAGGACGTTAATTTGGACAGGATGCTAAAATATTTGCATAAAAAATGGCTCATGTAAATATTCAGCCAAACAGATTTGTTTCAAGGTAAACGTATCATAGTATGTAGTAGATTGTTTTCCAAGAGCCAGTAGGCGATAGAGGTTGAATAATTTATAAGCAGTGGAGTTTTGCTGTCTCTGAAGTTTCTGACAACTTCTTAAGGGCAGGTCACATTTGGATTTTCTTGGTTTTTGAAGAAACTGTTGGGATGGTGAGATCAAATAGGAATCATTTGAAAAAAAAGCACTTGGAGGAAAACTTAAGCTTGCTTCTAATTTTGCTATTTTTAGTGAAAAGGCCAGTATTATACCTGTGCTATTTGGAACCCAACCTTGACATGCTTTAAATGTGCTTTTCTCTTTAAGTGAGCAGCAAGCACCCTCTCTGCCCATCCCCGTGTCCTGCGGGGTTTTCTTTCACTGCAGAGCTGCAGGCGGGGTCCAAACCCCTACAGAGGGAAAGACAGGACACTCTCTGTTTTTCTCAGCCCAGATTCAGGAAATGTTTCGGAGCATGACCCTGCTTGCAGTGCCACCCAGAACTTGTGGCTGCAGGGCACCAGGCTTATGGAGTCGTGTGGGGAAACTGAGCCCCAGTGCCCAGCAAATGCTTCTCACTCACTGGTCCCTGAATTCCTGTCTCTCCCACTAGGATGGCTTTGGTTTGGGGTTTGTCTGCAAAGGTATTTATAATCCGGGCATTTTTCTTAGTGCCTGTCCAGACGAAAATTTAAAAATCAAATCTTTCTGGTGACGTATTGCTGAGGTTTAAAAATGAGTTTGCCACAAATCGTAATAGGAATAGTATCCCAGTGTTGTCTTGGGGTCACTTGGGAATGAGCACTAAATACAGTCAAGAACCATGTCCTTAGTTTTGAGCAGGACCACATTACATCTTTTTTCACCTGAATATTTTATGCAAACAAGTTCATTTTCTTTCTGTTCCTTGAAAAACTCCAGGAGGAAAATCAAATACAGGTGTCAAAAAGTAATTTGTACCACGATTAATGTCCTCATCTATATCATTCATTCTGTGGAAGGCATTGCCTGGGGAGGTTAGGCTGTTGAGGAAACTTCATTTTAACCTGGAGATCTGCTTTTTCCAAAATTGTTCTTCTTAAGCCTTTTATATTAATAATGAGTTCATGAATGCTTTATACTTCCTGTCTGCAGAAGTTGGATTGTGGTTTTCTTTTGGGCTGTGTGGTCAACCTTGTATGGTAAGGACTGAGGCAATCCCCTCTACTTTCCTTCCTGATGGGCTGTAATTAAACCCTAGCTTATAAGGATGCAGAACCTGTATCTAAATATCAGAACAACTGATCAATCTGCCATTAGGTACTGGTTGTATTTTGGTGAAGTACAGACACATTTGCAGAGAGCTATTTCTTCTTTTACCAGTAGTGGGTGACTTGTTCTTTTGGGCCATTTTGTTTCCTACCCTGTCAGGCTGGTGGTAGGAGAGTGATTCCATCGGTGGCTGTGGGTGTTAATTCCCCTGCGGCACTGGATTAAGCTGGGGTGGCTGCCCTGGAAGCTACCGGTCTTGCCTACCCCTGGATCTTTCCAGGTACAAAGTGGTGATTGAATAAGCTCTAGAGAGACCCTTGAACCAGCACAGTTCTGCTCCTGAATTAAACCAAAATAGATGCCATAGACTCCTCACTGTCATAATTAGTATCAACAGCAATTACCGCAGAGCCAGGCATCACAGTTAGGGAAATATCAAAGCAAGAAAGGAATAAGTGAACATTGCCATAGATTTTCTTCTTGGCAAGTAAACGAATGTACACACATGCTTGCCATACTTGCCATTGCAAAGATTCGAGCAGCGGTTATGATCAGAAGAGTGGAATATAAAATAGCAGCATCATTGATAGCTTAAAAGGTTTTAATTGTCTAAACAAATAGCTTTTAATTCTTCTTCTGTGTCCAGTAGATTAAAGAAAAGAAGTGGAAAGTTTTTATTTACCTGTTTGATGGTAGTATAAAATATCTCCTAAATTAGAGGAGCTAACCTCAGGATGAGGCTTGCCTGTGCAAGAGCTGCAGGAAACTTTTGCCAGGGGTTATGTGATTAAGGAGGCATTTTTCAGTTCTGAGTGAATCTGAGGTATTTTCATAACATTAGCATCTATAGCATGTTGGCTGTGCAAGGAATTTATGACCAGCCCTTACTGCCTGCCCTACCACTCCCTGATCATATAGCCAGAAATTCTCCCAGTTAACTCTGACTGATAGGGTTTTTGGCTTTTGAACTACTCATGTATCTCGGTTAGCATTTCTAGTAGAGCCAATTCTGTAGCTTACCATGATTGCATCTTTAGATAAGTGCATTGTGGGCACAGAGCTATCGTCTGCGGCATCAAGTTTACAGCTTTCCTGTAGGGTGTAAACATGTGGCTGGATGAAGAGCTTTAACCTCTCAAGTCCTCCAACAAATATTAAATTGCTAACTGTTCTTCCATAATGCTGCGATGTTGACTGAAATTTGACCCTGGTGCTTGCTGAAACGATTTTCAAAATCTGAGTGAGAAGGTTAAATAGTGCTGTCAAATTTCCAAATGTCTGTTGCAGAAATCTTTCACTGAGTATCTGTGGGTTGAGCTCTAAAATGCTTAGAGTAATCCTCTTTTTTTTTCTTCATTATTATATGATATTATCTAAAGCTTGGGATTTAGTGCAGATAAAGAAATTAACTTGGGGTTTGCCTTTTTTCTGTGCCACCTAACCTTACCATTTATGGCTGTTTTTCTCTTTTTCACTTGTTGAAGGAGGAATCCAATGAAATGGTGTTCCTTAAGTACAAACCAGACCTCTAGGTTTCTTTATTTCTGCTCAAGATCATTGTAATTACTTGATTATTTTCACAGCTGTATCTGAGTAAGAAAAAGTGCTGTAATTGGCAACTTTTACAAGTTCACAACTCAATAAACCTGATGCTGGAACTCTTCCACCTGCAGAAGCCTCATTAATTGCTGTAGGAGTTTCAGCAGCTAAGAAACCTGGGTTTCAAAATATTTCTCTTTTGACATGTAGCCTTCGAACTAGAGAATCTCTACAGTAACAAAATACAAAGGACCTTTAGGCTGAGGGAGTCTGTTGATTATTGGACAAGTGTTTGACTTGCAAGTGGATCTGTTAGGAAGGCTCTTTACCCAACTCATTAATTACATCCATAAGTCCTAACCATTCTTATTTGAGCTTTTTTGTAAGATCCAGGACTTAATTTCCTGAATGCTCTTACTAATTCTTATTTATTTTGGCTTTGTATTGTTGTTGTTGTATTGTATGATTAGTCTTTATTTAAGAGATGAGTCGTATGTTGCAAGAAACAGTACTAAGTTATAATAATATTGAGTCTTTAAAGATACTATACTCCAGCCATAACTTTGAATTTATTTTTGTTATTTTAAAGCAACATTGGTGCCTGTCTCTAAGGGTTATGGGAGGCTCAGAAGTTTACTTGATTTCTTTTTTCCTTAATTTCAGGGCTTTTTCCGCAGGAGTATCCAGAAGAACATGGTTTACACATGTCACAGAGATAAAAACTGTGTTATCAATAAAGTTACCAGAAATCGCTGCCAGTACTGCAGACTACAGAAGTGCTTTGAAGTGGGAATGTCCAAAGAATGTAAGTTGTCTTCAGAAACAATTTATTGTTTGTCGTATCCTACATATATCTGGCAGTCCTAAGGGAAAAAATTATTATGCAATTTTGTGATTCAAGCCAGTATCTACATTCACAGGTCAAGAAAGGAGTATGAATTTGGTACACAACTTTAGACCTGTACTTTGGAAACTTCTGAGTCCTTACCTTTGCAGCCTAAATGCGGTCAGTTAAGACCTTTTGGTGCAACACAGTGCTTGTGAGGCATGGCCACCCCATGTGAGTGTGAGAATGCGAAGTGGGTGGTTTTGCCAGGTTTTCCGAAAGAACAAACCCACAGGTACTTGTTTTAAGATTGGATTATCTCTCATCTGCTCTAGAAATGGCTTCCTGGGACAAGGGTGTAAGGGGAAGAATAATGGCTTCTTAAGCTTGGTTTCAGTCCTTCCTCTGCCCTGCAGACTGGCTTGAGGCTTTGCTGGGCTTGGGGTCAGCCTAGGCTGTCACTTCACAAGGGCTTCCCGCTGCAGCAGCCAGCAGCCTTGCTTCAGCCTTAACCTTCTCCCTTATGCCAGTGCAGGTGCTTGTGCCAGAGGGCCCCCTTTTAGCAGGAGCACCAATCTGTGCCATTTTACAAAGCTGATGGTATAATGGCCTCGAGCCTTCTGTCTTTGCTGCCTGAACCTTCACTGAAAGGTGAAACGAGCCGGCAAATCCTCTTCTAAACCTGCAAAGCCGGTAAACCTGACTGTGCAGAAGTGCTGCCAAGCACACCATAAACCTAAGGAATTTTCTTCTCCCTTCTTTTCTAGAAATCGCTGGTTTGCCCTTTAAATTAACACTGTTAAGTATTCTTCTAGAAATATGTGATTTTTTCTTCTTCCAGTTTATTGATATCTGCATCAAGCTTAAAAATATAGCTAAAAAAGCCTTTCTCAAATCCCTATGGAGTAATGCTTCTGAAACTTTCTCATTTTTATGGGATTGATTGCAGTAGCAAAAAAGTCTTTGATGTAGTGATTTGTTGAATTGTTGAGGGTTTTGACCTCTATCAGTTGATGTTCCTGATTTTAGTAGGTCAATTCCAATAATAAACACTACAGAGGTTTGCAGTGTGTGCATAAGAGAGGAGGAAAAATTGCCCAACACCACTTTTTAACTTTAATTTATCCACAAGAGTGATTTTTAAGACCAAAGGAAAAGAAAATTGACAACGATGAGACATTTATGTCTGAACTGCAATGTAAACTAGTTCTAATCTTCAGCGTTTTGCCTTTCTGAATTATGTGGGACATCCCAGTAGTTCCATTCTCCATACTTAGGAAGGAGCCAAAGCAGTCCTAAAGTCACACTTGTCCCTCCTCATTGCATCCTATTTCTCTCTCCCATTGGCTCTCTCCTCTCACAGAAAGAATGGTGAGGTGTGGAGAAAGAACCAGATATATCTTTAGAAACTTTGTGCTGTGTTTCCTGTTCCTTTTCATGGAAACCTTAAATTGTGGTTTTTGAAAAGTTTCAAGCTACTGGAGGAGGAGGAGGTCTTAGAATTTTCATTATTTCATTGTCCTTGTTGGGTTTTCTTGTGTGCCTGAAGTGCCCTTATCTACACTTAGGTATAGATCTGCTGGAGTGAAAACCATGATATGAGTAAAGGAGAAGGTGGGCTAAAAACAAAGATGAAAGGAGGAATGAGGAGGATTTTATTGATAGGTATTTGACTGCATATGTATCTGTGCACATGAAGCTTTTTTCTTTGATAAAAACAGTGTGATGCAGTTTGGAAGAGAAGAAAAAGCACTTTTCTTACCTTAGGGCTTGTTGATCTTGAGTTCTTAAGGATTTTATTGCTGACGTGGAATAGTAATCTTATTAAATGCTGTAACGTCACATCGGAGTAGGTTTTGGAAATATCAGCAGTATTTCTAACATGTTAACCAAAGTTACTTTGGGTAAACTATAAAGGCTTACTGCGTTTTAGGGGATGGATTGTTTTCTCCCATAGGGTAGCTGGAACTTTGCCAGCAAGAATTAAGCTTTTGCTCTGCCTGTTTGCTGGGGTGAACTGAGTGAAATTGCCCTTTGGCAGTTGCCTTTATCTCAAACCACTACAGGCACTGAAATAGGGATAGCAGGTTGGAGGGGGAACAGAGGATCCTGGGGAGAAGTGAGGGATGTCCTCTGGCTGCATTTCTGTAGAAGGCATTTGCAAAGGAACAGAGAAATTATTTTAAATGTCATCAGTTTGAATGCAATGTGTCTTGTCTTCTGGGTTTAAGAACTAAGTCTGAAGTGATTCTGTGTTATTCCTTCATAAACAGGAGCTTTTCATCTCCTAAGAGATTTGAAAAACTATTTTCTTATCTGACCTTCTTTCATACATATCTCTAGGTTTCAACTCCATTTCTTTAGAAGTTTATGTAAACAAAGACACATCTGTCACTTGGCTTTTTCTTACCAGATACAGGTCTTTCTTTTCCCCTCAGTGAGTTATTCACATTTTGTTTTTCTGTCTTCTTACAGTTCTGTTTGTTGCCTTGTAACGTGAAAGCCATGAACAAAGGACAGAAAAAAGTATCAGAGAAATCTCACAGGGAAACAAGCCTACAATGCTCAAACCAGTCCCAAATGGGGAAAATAATCGAGTGGGCACCTGCTAATAGGAACACCAAGGTCTGTTCCCAGGAGCTAAGGAGGAGTAGATGCTGATTTGCAGTATACAGAGTAATCCATGCTTAAAAGCTACAGTCCTGTGTTTATTTGTTGAGCCTTTAAAGGGCATTCAAAAGTACTTGCATATGCAACTTCCTTTGAGCTTAATGAGCCTTCCACACAAACATCAGAGAAGAGATGGGAACTGGGTGCCTACCCAGTGTGATAAGTAGGGTTTTAAGAGTGGGGTACAGTGTTTTGAAAGAGAAGAGCTACTGAGCATTTTTTGTATGCTATCTTGTTTTAGAGAATGAAGTGCAATGATGAAGGAATGAACTGAATTTGCATTTCTTTATAGGTTGTTTTGTTCTTATAGGGGGAAAAAAAAGTTATCTTGGACCCCTTGTTACTCCCCAGATCTGATCAGGAGAGGTCAATAACAAGACTGCCTCCAGGGCAGGAGTGTAGCTATTTGCCTTGTGATAATATCTGCAAGACCCGCTGAAACTGGATCCCGCTAGTGTAGGGACTGGCTTTCATTGTATAGTTCCTGTTGCAAAAAGTTTGTGCTCCAAACAGACAAGACAAAGAGTGTGAGGAGAAACGACTTAGTGATGGCTGCCTTATCTTCCTACAGCAGGGCAAAACACAGCTTGAAATAAAGCCCTGTTGTCTTTCATCAGATACCCTTCCTTCAGAAACTCCTGAGTTGTCTCTGTAACCTGAGCTGCAGCTCTCGGTGTCACGGCCTGGAGTCAGCCCCTCCACCAGCACCACATCAGATTTGGGGACTGCTTTATGGCTGTCCCACCTCAGTTCATGTGTGGGTTCTTAGGGGTACATAGGTGCAGCTGGGGCTCTTGTCCCCTCTCCAGACCACTTCTGCCCTTCTTACCCTTCCAGCCTGCTAATTTTGTTAATAACCATGTAGAGACAAATGGTGGTCACGTAGGATTCTTTTTTTGCTTCTGCTGCTAAAGTGAGAAGGCCACTAAGGCTGACAGTGGTTCATTATGTGATGGAGAGCCTTAGGAAAGTAACCTTTGTCCTTCTATTACGTGATCTCTAAGCTGATGTTGGAGCACCATCCTTGGCCTGACCCCAGGTGTCAGCAAGAAGCTCACTGTTGCCTGGATGCCTGGACCTCGGTGCTCAGGAGCTGGTGAGGGGTCACACATACGTCGCTACCTCCTGCAATTAAGGGAGCACGCGGAAAGCTGGGCAAAACTCTCCAACACTAATGCTGGATGCTGGGAATGAGATGCTTTGTAAGGTGAAGCCTGCTGTTAAAGCAAACCTGAACTGATTTTTTGTAGGTTCAAGTGGGAAGAAAAGGGAGCTTTCTTTTGCCACAGCTGTCCAACTTAGCCCAGCAGCTCTTCCATCCTCTTTCATAAAATTTGCAGGCTGCAGGGACTGTCACTGTACTTGATGATCTTTGGGATCCTGTCAGACACAACCCAGCCCATTCAGCAGGGTGCAGTGCAGAGAAGCCCTCCATACTGGCATAAACGTCTACAGTGAGCTCTAATAGAGCAAAATTATGTTTATAGAGGTACAGAATTGTTCCAGATTGCTTCAGTGCACTGAAGCAATGTTCAGATTTGTAAATCTGCTTACGATTAACCTCTCTGGAGGGAGGGCAGGAGGAAGGGAGGGAATGCAGGGAAATTAGCATGAAGAGGAGAGAATCCAGTTTCTGTGCTCTGTATTTGTTTTTGGTTTTTTTTTAAACTCACACAGAAATGTCAGTTGCTCCTTTTCATGGGCTTGAGTATTATAATATATAAATGTTCATGCTTCTGAGAACATATGATCACATTCTGCTACTGAACAATAGAATGAATGGATTTACTTATTTTCATTCTGGTTTAAATTGGCAACCAGGAAACATCAACTTGAAGAACTGTCATGTTTGTATTTTATATTTTTCTTTAATTTTTTTTCAGACTCCTTAGGGAAGCATGATTCCATCCTCAATGAGTAGCTAAGTGGAGGGCTAGTCTGCATAGTTGCGTTTGAGACATTCATGCAGATTCCACTGAAGTAATTTTAAAGCAAATTAATTAGAATGCATGAAATCTTTATTTAGATGCTTTTAGTCAGAACTGAACTGGTTTATTTTTATTCTTTTTAGCCAGCAGGAAGCACTGGATTTAGGAATTGTTTCTGCTTTGCTACAGCTAGATTTTTAACTGAATGCCTAAATACCACGCAGTGGCTGGGGGCTTTTTCAGAAATTCCAGTGCAGTTGCCTCACCTGTTAACTCGCCTTGCTTTCTCGAGGGGCAGGAGCTAAATATCAGAGTGGAAATCACAAACCCCTGAATTCTGTTCTGGGACTAATTCCTCTCTCTAAATGCTATGAACTGATT